TTTAATTCGGAAATTGGATTCGATTTGGTTCTGAATAGCATATCCTATCTTCAGAGAATATCCTCTAACCGTTACTTTCTGATGTGGCAGGTACAGGTGGAGAAGGTCTTGGGTAACTCACTTTCTGCAATTGGTTTCTTGTCGTGCAGGTGATATAGCCGCTTACTCACAAACAGTTTTGACATTCAGTTGTTTTGAAACGCGGTAAAGGTTAATAACATAAGGTAGCTGCTTTGTTGTATGCTGGTTTGTCGTTGTGTTCAATATCTTTACAAACATATCTACACACCCTCTTCTTGCGCAGGATTTCTGGTTTGTTCAAGCTGTGGTGGCATCGCGCTGCGAAAATCTCATGAACTGTTCCACGGGTCTGAAGACATTCAAGCCTTATGCCTTAGTGAGATTACGGCACTCGTTCTACGGCGAAGTTGATAGGGGTATGAAGGGGCCTTCTTCTGTTGTAACTGCTCTATGACTCTTTCGAAATTCGTCGATTATTCTAACCTTCAGCCGCGCTCTTGACAGGTGCGAATAGGAGTTGGGCTTTCGTCGTTAAATTGATACTATGTATTTGCATTAACACTCTTGAAGTTTATGTTTTGTAGGACTGGAGTGTGCAGGTACCGCTGTGGTTCTAACTTCAGTTAGCTCTTGCATGTGTATCAGATTACCAGTCTAATATTCAGCCTATTTACCTTTAGTACAATGATGGGCGATACAGACTGTGAGAGCAAGTATGTCCAGTGCAAGCAATTGAATGAGTATACACACTCTGTTCCTTTAGACAGACGGATTCATCAATGAGTACATATGCGAAGCGCACTTTCTCCCACATGTTATAAATGGTGGCCTCAATTCAACCTGTTGAGTGGGTAAGCCGACATCAATTTCTTTTAGTCTATCACCTGTGACTTCGGACTTGTCCACTTTTTCACTTCCAGCAAGATCTACCATAAGAAGGCAATTGCGAATAGAGTTGCCAGATGTATTTTTGCCGTCAACATGGATAGTAAGTATACTGTGGGAGCAACTACTCCTGTTGCATGGTCTGAGTTGTGCCTTAATTTTCTATTTCCCCGAAACATCATGCCAATGCCTGATTTACCGGTTTTACGCACGCAGAGACAAAGACTTGCTGCTGACTGATAATTGCACCCTTCATCGCAAATGCAAGTCGGGAAGATATGCTCAAAGCCGTGTCGATAGCAGTTGGAGCCGTGTCTTTGCGAGTTGCCACGTGGTCACATCTCTCAAGTTTACTCGCCTGGTGTATCATACAAATGCAGGACGTTGCAGAGTTTGGAAAAGGTATAACAGTTTTGCTTCGCTAATTTGACCTGTTATGCCTGTTATGCTGTTATTGTTGTTTTGAACTTTCGAACCGTAACGGGGTGGAGGGTCAACGAAATCCTCTTAGTTGTAATGGGATTATGTTCTAGTTGCGGTTTGACTAGTTCTGGGGAAAAAGGTTGATGCAGTAACTATGGCCCTGATGATTCTCTGTCAAATGCCAATTTCGGTACCTGATCCAATAACTGTGTTTGAAGTTTCTTTTCTTTTGCAGAGATGGAAACATTCCTGGAGCAAACAAACTTCATTACTTGAGTTAAAGGCGTCCTTGAGTCACATGTAACGCCATATACCGCAACCAGTGAAGTAGACAACACATACGCAGCAATACCGGGCATTCCCTTAAGCATGGTTGATATCTTGAAGTCTTTGTAGCGTACTTATGATTGGAGCTTGAGTCAATACTCTTGCAATGGGTTTGGACAAATTAGACGGAATTCGAATGTAACGCGGATTTTGTAAGGTTGTAACAGATGTTGTAACTTGGATCTCAATGTTTGTACTCAATGGAAGATAGTTTACTTTTGATCTCTTGGTTGTAATGGATTCTGCATACTCGCACCTTGAGCTTTTTTTTAAATTGATTTAAAGTTTTGAAACTTCTAGATAGTTGGAAAAAAGATTGCATTTGACTTCATTCTTCGTTTATATCCGGTAAGAGTGATCCCCTTTGTGGAATTACTTGAAATTCCGGACCTTCATAAACCGTATTCTTTACTTGAGAATTTAGCGCTTAAATTGAATCAAATCTTAACCATTGCCGCTTAAAGTTACTACATCCATACAAATTGGTTAGTCACATAAATATTAAATATATCAAATAACGATAGAAAATGCGCAAAAATAGGTGGGATCCTACGGTCAAAAATTAGGGTGCAACATGCGGCTTGGTTTCTGGTTAAGGGAGGTACCCCCATGAATTCAGCCAATCTCGTTAATTGTACCGCCAATTGTTGATTGGTCTGAGTTGTATTTTGGATTAATGGTTGAAATATTTCACCCATGGTTTGTGACAAAGTCTGAACCATTTGTAGGTTACTTTCGTCCATCTGCTGTCTTAAACAGGCAACTGAGGTGTTGGTCAAATTGGGGCCTTGCGTCGAATACCCTAAACTCTGGCTTTGGGGGTTTCGACCCATGTTCACGCCTGACCCTGACCCCTGTAGTGGCAAAGCCATCGCCTGATCTGAGAATATGGGGGGTGCACTTTGGAGCCCTTGCATCATAGCGGTGGGCATCCCATATGGGGGATTTCTTGGTGATTGTGTAAAACCAAGGGGACCAAACTGCCTGGACGTCGAACTTCCTCCTAGCAAAATCTGAGGATTCGACGTTTGATGACCAATATATTCCAACACTGGTTGAGTATAAGGTCTTATTACTGTCGATCCAACCCCAAGTACGGAAGGTGTCAGTACTGGCCTCACCGGCAGTACTGTTTGTTCTCCAGTCGACGACATCAGAGGGGGAATTCCATCGTCTCTTATTCCCTCACTGGAACCGTCTCCTTGATGGTTGGGGTTATCTGGCTGGTTCGTATCCGTAGCCATGTTCCTACTGTTTCGTCTTGGTCGTGTCTCTTCGTTTACAGCGGCAATTTTACCACTTCTTAGTAACATAAAAATGTACCTCTCACGAAAAAGGACCAGTACGACTGCATAATTTATATAATTTTAGTTTTATGAAACAGATTTTCTAGCACTGTCCCACTGGGCGTGCCATTTTGTTTCCCTTGAAAATCGGAAAACAATCGCTGATCTTCCAAATCTAACTTTGGTGACTCACATGATCGATCAAATTGATCCTAGGACATGTGCTAAAAGGTTTGTTTTTGTTTTAAGAATCTATTCAAGTTCCACACTCGAACAGTATTGGGGTGAAAGAATTCTAAAGGAACGTTTATTCGACTACGGGTTAATTTAAAGGTAAAGTAAAGCTTTCAATAAAAGAGAAGAGAGTTTGTTGGGAGAAAAGAAGTTAGATTGAGGACGAAGAGAAAAGAATTGCATAGGAAAGAGGGAAGTAAAATAAGGAGAAAAGGGGGTAAAGACAATAAAAGACTTTGTAAAATTTAAAGTAAACAAGTAAATTGCATTAAGTTAAAAGATGGTGTGTTTACATTACATACATTCTCTACAATACTCGCTTTCTCTACACTCGGATACTTGGAGTAATTTCAAGAGTAATTTGTACAATAGTAAATTACAACACACTTTGGATATGTCTAAGACACCCTATTTATAGTAATAAAAAATAACCTCTAATAACCTCTATCGTCATCTCCTTGCGCCATTTGTCACAAATGCATGGTTATACTGCCCTTAGGGTGACACGTGTCTCCCTCAATATTCAACAAGCAAAACCGTTCCTTCCAATATTTGAATTTCAAATCCCTCGACGAACCATCCCTCTCAGCAAGCGGTCGAACTCCTGGCTTCTGGATGAGTCCTTCGACTTCTTCTTCTGGTTGCTTTGCCTCTTTCGACCATTCTCTTGTTCTCAACTTTTTTTTACCTTTTTGTCTTGAATACCTTCTTTCTACATGAGGCGTCGAATTTAGGAGCTAACACTGCCATAGAGAAAAAGATCTATTAGTTGTAAATGCATTTAGAGAAGTATTGGCTCTAGTATTCAGTAGAAATATGCATTTAGAGCAGACGGATGTGAAAACAACTTTCCTCAATGGTAATTTAAAAGAGCAAATCTACATGGAGCAGACAGAGAGATTCACTGATACTGGACATGACAAACTTGTTTGCAAATTGAAGATGCCTTTGTATGACTTTAACTAGTCTCCAAGGTAGCGGTACAAACACTTTGATTCATACATGCTCCAGATTGACTATAGAAGGTGTGATTATAATTGTTGTGTTTATGTGAGGAGCATTGATGTTGGCTCTTTTATTTTTTTGTTACTTTATGTTGATGATATGTTGATCATTGCCAACCATTTGCATGATGTAAATGAGTTGAAGACCAAGTTGGGTGTTGAGCAAGATGGAGTTCAGTTGCATTATGACAGTCAAAATGCTATCTATTTGCCGAACAATCAGGTGTATCATGCTAGGACCAAACATATTGATGTGAGGTTCCACAAGATCAGAGAGTTGTTGACGTCCAGACATATATTATTTCAGAAGGTTCACGCTTTAAAGAATGCAACCGATATGTTGACAAGTCAATCACTAGTGACAAGTTCAAACACTGTTTGGACTTCTCACATATTTCTCATTGTTAAACAGGATGTGTACCTCCTCAGTTTTCAGGACGAGTCGTTATGCAAAAAGTCTTCATAGGGTTTGATATTCGTTAAGGTGGATATTGTTGAATATGACTCATGTTGTTGAGATAATTATGAAATGTAGAAATAACTATAAATTGTTGAGAGAATAACTCATATCGTTGTGATAATTATAGGTGAAAATAATCGTTTAGTGAAAAAAACTATAGATTAAAATTTTAGATAAACTAAAACCTAATAAAGGTGTAATATAGGTCCAATTCACACTACATAAATAAAAGGAATTATATTTATAAATTTTGGACAAGTTTCAAACTTGTCGTATATAGTACCAGTGGACATCCCTTTATGAGAGTACTTTTGAGTTCAGCTCAGAACCCAGACACGAAAGACACTCTATCTGTAATTGATGGAAGAAATTGAACACAAGTTCGTGAATGTGGGAGATCTCAAACTCCACATAGCTCAAATTGGAACCGGTAAAACAGAACCCAATCCAATCCAGTGAACTGTTTCAATTCTTTGTCGTCTTCTGAAGCAAAGTCAACCACCTTTCTTTTCTATCTTTCAGGTCCAAACGTCGTCGTATTCCTCCACGGCTTCCCTGAGATATGGTACTCCTGGCGCCACCAGATGATAGCCCTCGCCGCTGCCGGATTCAGAGCTATCGCTCCCGATTACAGAGGCTACGGCCTCTCCGATCCGCCACCCGAACCCGAAAAGACCACCTTCTCTCATCTTCTCAACGACCTCCTAGCAATTCTCGACGCTCTTTCTCTTTCCAAGGTACACACTACTTATTTAATAGTATGTGAGCTTCATTGATCCATCGATTATTATTTTTATTTTTTTACACACATGGATTATTAAAATAGTTAAAAATATTCTCATGAAAATTCATGTCCTTAACTCTTCATTTATAATATTGTTGCCTAATCTTGGATGCATCTGTATTGTATATGATAGGTGTTTCTTGTTGGAAAAGATTTTGGAGGTCCTCCAGCATATCTGTTTTCCAATCTACACCCAGAAAGGGTGTTAGCAGTTATCACATTGGGAGTTCCATATGTTCCACCAGGCCCCCCTATTCTTCATAATTATCTCCCAGAAGGCTTCTACATTTTGAGATGGAAGGTAAATCCATTTTTTCCTTTTATGGCTTTATATATCTGTTTATATATATATTATGCATCAGGAACCAGGAAGAGCAGAGGCTGATTTTGGACGCTTTGATGCAAAAACTGTTGTGCGAAACGTTTACATCCTTTTCTCAAGAAGTGAATTACCAATAGCTAATGAAAATCAAGAGATCATGGATTTGGTGGAATCTGATACCCCTCTTCCCACTTGGTTTACTGAGGAGGATTTATCAACTTATGGAGCCTTGTATGAGAAATCTGGATTCCGAACGGCACTGCAGGTTCCGTATAGGTGCTGCTAACTTGTTTTCTCTCATGCTCTAGTTCCTTTTTCAGTAGTGAAATGCTGTTATCAGACAGACAGTTATTCTGCTGGGAAGGTGAGTTCTTTTAAATTGCTTTTGTTTGCATTTTGTAGGACAATTGGTGATGACTTGAGCTTACCAGATCCTGTAGTCAAAGTTCCAGTACTGCTGATAATGGGTGGAAAGGATTATGTTTTCAAGTTTCCAGGGATGGAAGATTTAATAAAAAGTGAGAAAGCCAAAGAGCTTGTTCCCAATTTAGAGGTTAAGTTTATTCCAGAGGGAACACATTTTGTTCAAGAACAATTTCCTGAACAGGTAAATCAGCTTATCCTTGCCTTCATAAGCAAACACATTTGATGTTTTGTTAATGAATTGAATGGTGTGTCTGTGTATGGTTTGGCAAGTGTGGAGTTTTACTGAATCGATTTGAAGCTATTAGACTGGTTAGCTTCTTGGGAGGGGAATTCATGTAATAAGAGATTGTGGTCAAATTGTGTTCTTGTTAATATAAGATTGAAGCAGAGAGAAACATATGGTGCTTATAAGACTTTTGTAAATAGCAGCGATGCAATAGAATAGATCAAATCAGTATAATAATATATAAAATGCCTAAGTACTTCTATTCATTTGGAAATACCTGTATTATTTGTTTGAAATATTGATGGAATCGCGATGCATGTTGCTTTGTTTGGGTGGGAAAATTGTCGGGCCAGGTCGAATTTGGGTCTAAATATTCAAATCAGGTCAAGCCGTGAGTGAAGAAAAGAGGCTTAATTTTGACCGACTTTGAATTCGATTATTGCAGTTTACGGTTTGACAAGTTTTCGATGGTTCAACTAGTAACTGACTCATGCGTCTGCCACGGGTACACAAAACTTTGGACCGTATATTTGAATTGAACTGCATTATGATGAAATGATATAAACAATTGCGAGAGAATAAATTGAAACAAAAGTGAAATTAGACTTTAATGTAAATTTCCAAAGTTGAGTGTTTATACATTAAAAGTCATAGAAGCAATGTTACAAGAATGGCTAATAGAATAGCAAAAACTTCATGATATTGAATGAGAACAAATTTGCACATGTAGAAAAAAGTTTTAGTTAGAAAAAGCAAAGGAAATAACACAAATTTTAAGGTTATTATATAGAACAAAATTTTTCGTATAAGTAACATTTATATGCTAAGGAGAATCTTAAAATATGCTAAAATATGTTTACAAATATAATCCTATACTGTTTATTAAATTTTGAAATATGAACTGTACATTTAGAAAACAGTTGTAATTATAGTAGAAAATAAAAAATGAAGAAGAAAATGTGAAGAAAACATGGTCATGGACCTAAATGCAGTTTCCTCTATAGCTACCGAATGTACATAAATGTGAAAATATGCCTTTGTCCATCTTTTATATAGGGAATAATCTCTTTAGAGTAAGTATCAATTTTTGCACCATACATATTTCTAATCAACAACATATGCAGCAAAACTCAGCACTTATGTATAGCCAACAACTTATATTAGAGAAAAATGGGCAATGATGTACTACCTTTAAGACGCCAAAGGCAATGGCTAGAAAAGACTTGTAAAAGTCGAAAAAATGAAGAGAAGGTGGGAGAAAAGGTCTCAGGGGAGGGAAACTAGACTGCACGTGAACAACATGTGTTTCACATAAGCGTTTAAAGTAGAGTTAGCTCCCATTATGACTTCAAAAAGAGTGAATCACTTACACCACACAATTGATTGACTTTGACACTTACTGTTTCAATTGACTGACTGTTTCAAATTTAAAAACAAACAGAATCTCATTTTTAATTCATCAGAATTTGCATTTATTAAGATTTTTAATCACGACAAATTTACATGTTCAAATTTCTTAGAATAAAAACGAATTTGTCCTCAACAAGGGGTTCAGTAAATACATCAGTCCATTGATGGTCTATATCAATAAATTTTAAGTTTAAAATACCCTTCTGAACATAGTCTCTGATAAAATGATGTTTGATCTCAATATACTTAGCTATAGAATGTAAAATGGGGATTCTTAGACAAACAAATAACAGAAATATCATCACAAAAGATAAGAATGTAACTGTCATTTAATTGATAATCTTCTAGCCGACTTTTCATCTAGATGATTTGAGTGTTACAGCCAGAGGCTGCATGTATTAAACTTTTGTTATTGATAATGCAATATTTAATTGTCTCTTACTGGACCATGAAATTAGATTATCACCCAGAAACTGACAGCTTCCATGGATGCTTTTTCTTTCAAGTCTATCTCCAACATAATCAGCATCACAAAGCCTACTAACTTGTAACTTTTGATTTCTTATAAAACAAACCAAAGTTAGTAATACCTCTCAGATATCTAAAGATTCTCTTAATAGCAGTTAAATGAGACTCTCTAAGATCTGATTGAAATCTAGCACATAAGCATACACTGGACAAATTATAAGGCATATAAGCATTTATGTAAAGAAGATGCTCAATCATACATTTGTATACCTTTTGTTCTACCTTTTTGCTTTCCTCATCTTTTTTAAGAGTGCAAGTGAGATGCATTCGAGATTTAACAATCTTACATTAAGTCATATCAAACATCTTCAAAAGTTCTTTTGTATATTTGCTTGGCGAATGTATGATCCTTCTGAGTTTGATTAATTCGAATTCCTAGAAAGAATTTTAATTCTCCCATCATGTTCATTTCAAATTCTGCTTTCATGGACTTGGAAAATTCTTGGCAGAGAGAGGCATTATTAGAACCAAAAATGATATCATCAACATAAATTTGAACTATTAAAAGATCATTTTTTATGTTTTTTCAAAACAAGGTTGTATCCACTTAACCTCTTGAAAAATTATTTTCCAAAAGAAAATTGTTGAGTCATTCATACAAAAGTCTGGGAGCTTGTTTCAGATCATACAAAAATTTCTTAAGTTTATAAACAAAATCAATTTTTTTTTTATGATTTTCAAAATCAGGAGGTTGATGAACATAAACTTCTTCAAATATGTATCCATTCAGAAATACGCTTTTAACATCCATTTGATATAAGATAATAATATTATTAACAACAAATGAAATTTAAAAACGAATAGATTTCAACCTGGCAAATGGTGCAAAAGTTTCAGTATAGTCAATTCCCTCTTATTGACGATAGCTTTATGCAACTAGTTTGACCTTGTTCCTTACCACTTCTTCTTACCCATTCAGCTTGTTTCTGAATATCCAATTCGGTGCAACATCACCTGCGTTTGGAGGGTATCACCCCAATGAAAGAAAATCTATTAAATCATTGGTCAATAATACACAACGATCTCATTTGAACTCTCTCAGTTCAGTTCCATTTTCCTAATACTACCCATTAATTTTAACTCATGCTCCCCCTGAATCTGAGACCATTCACTTTAATTGAAACACTCTCATAAGTGTTTGCAAGAAAACAATTATATGTGGCCTATTTCAAATAACAATTAGAAACTAAATACTCTATCCTTCTAAAAGAAGAAAGACCCGAAAAAAACGTAGTATTACAACAAAAAATACAAAGACACAATAAAATATGGCACTGTTTACCGTGTTTTTTTGGTAAACAACCTCTGGTCTATCAATTTGGTGTCAAATTGACTAACTTGCAGGATTGACCATACGAAATCCTAGGATATGTGCTGAAGGGTATTTTTATTTGAACCTATCTAAAAATGTGTTTCAACAATACTAAGAAGAAATAATTTAAAAGGGGGCAGAAATTATCCACTATGTTTAAAAGAAAGAAGGAAGAAGAATTACAAGAAGGAAAAGAGATAAAGGTTTTTTGGGAGAGAAAGACTTAATCGAAGTGGTAATGATGAACAAAAGGAAAGACGAAATAAATAAGTAAAAGTACTTGACAAAAGTAAAGAAAACAAAGTAACTTCATTGAAAAGATAAAGGATGGTGTGTTTACATCACGTACATTCTCTATAATACTCTCTTTCCCTACACTCGGATACTTGGAGTAATTTTAAGAGTGACTTGTACAACAGTAAATTACAACACACTAAGTTTTATGTCTAAGACTCCTATTTATAACAATAATAGTAATTGCTAATAACCTCCTTAGGCCATCTATTCCTGACAAGTGTCAGACCGCATGCAGTCATTTATCCGATGAGAGCCACTTGTCCTTCTTAGTCATAAGAAAATATAACTACTCCCTCCAAGATTCGAATTTCAAAACTCAATTCGTCTCTCCTTCTAAATCTCGGTCGAAGACCACTTCGCTGCTTAAGTCGAAGTGTTTAATTTCAAGACTTCAATTTTTCTAAGTCCTTGGAAGACTTGTAGGTCTTTTAATACGCTGAAAATAGCCTCCAAACACGAGTCGTCAAATTGGCGAGCTAACAAATTGCCCCCCAAAAATATAGTTTTCGACACTACAAAAAGTACATTTTTTGACAGCATCCAAATTCGACGCCGTTTACCTTCGACTATATCCTGATAGTTGACCCACCTTTAACTGCTTCAAGTTTAGGAAACTGAAAGGTGATGGGAGAGGATATATCCACAATCTCACGCAAAAAGGAACTGTTACGCCACCTTGATGCACGATCTCTGACGTCATAAACATCATGGCAAATTTCTCGGGAATCACCAAAATCGTGAGCCATCATTACCCCTATATAGCATAGGTTACAACCGCCACCTCTACTAACTCATCCTGAGTACACATGTGGTCCACTAACCCCAGCCACTTATAAAAAACTCTTGAATTTCCCCTTTTCACTTATAAATAATTTTCAAAACGTCTTTTACTTTTACTTCTTCAATCTTTTTACAACATTGCCTCACATTTTCTTCTCACCGTCTTTTCTTCCAAGAACACTCCTCCAACTCTTATCATGGCTGAGCTAAGATCCCAGAAACAAAAAACCCAGTCTCATCAACAAACCTCTTCTTCCACCCTTCCCCCTTTTCCTGCTCTGAGTTTCCCGAAGGTGGTGAAGAATCAGCAACTCGTGCGAGAGCCTTTACTGGAGGAGAAACGCCATATCTACGAATCCCAGGTAATCATACCCGTTACTGTCACGGATAAACCGCTTGCCATGTCCGGGCCTCTATCCCTCTCAGGTTTAAACTATTCCAATTTGAATGAGTTTTTTCCTTCTTATCGAAAAACCAAACCCCTAGGGCAAAAAGACTCCAAAAAGGTTCCCTTGGATAATCCAGATAGCTTGGATGTTTATAATGTGGATCTCAAGTATCTCCATGATGGCGCAAGATTATTTAGGGCTACGCCATATTTCAAGGATTTTGAACTCTACCTCAACTGGTTGAAGAAGGTAGAAAAGGCAAAAACTCAAGACTGGAAAGA